AAACATTAGTAGATCCAAACAGGTTTTAACAGTATGAATTTATAATGCACCACCAGGCATGGAAAATCATTTACATTCATATCATACATTCATTTACATTCATTTGCCTCTAACTTTTTTCATCAACAGCATCCCGCAAAATGATGTATAGAGCTTTTGTAGTTTATGTTATTAGCTACAATTGTTGTTCATAACTCAAATCTGTATATCTTATGCATCACGAACTAGAGCGGGCAGAACTTGTTACTGTTTTTCAGTGAATGTTAAATACATTCACTGAAAAACGGTAGTGGCTTCTGTTCGCTCTGGTTCGTCATACATCAGAGATACGGATTGGACTTGTTAACAAAAGTTGTAGTTGATAACAATACCTACAAAATCTATATACATCATTTTGCGGAATGCTATTGATTAAAAAAGTTAGAGGCAAATGAATGTAAATGAATGCACGAAATGAATGTAAATTTTTTTTTTTTTTTTTTTTTTTTTTTTTTTTTTTTTTTAACTCTTTATTTGTTTCAAATTCAAAATAAATTACATTTCATTTTAACCTAGGTGCTCCAGTTACTGCAGTAACTTACCAGCCTTAATTGTTATGATATATATCTAAGTGTTTTTACATTGTTCATGTCTTGGCAATTCAGTATTTTAAACAGGTTTTTTAACCTGCATGTCAGTATAACAATTGATATCATAAAACTAAACACTAAAACTAAATCTTATCTAAGTATAAAGGGAATTAATCGTTGCAATTGAGGATTGCAACGATTTTTGCCTGAAATTATTAATTATTTTGTTGGACATTTGTGCTAAAGTCTCAACATTCGAAATTCTATGCACTTCGGTTGTACTGTACCAGGGAGGCAACTTCAAAATCATTTTCAGAATTTTGTTCTGAATCCTTTGAAGTGCTTTTTTCCTGGTAGTGCAGCAACTAGACCATATTGGTACAGCGTAAAGCATGGCCGGTCTAAAAACTTGTTTAAATATTAGAAGTTTATTCGTCAGGCAAAGTTTGGATTTCCTGTTTATAAGAGGATACAAACATTTAATATATTTGTTACATTTGGCTTGAATGCCCTCAATGTGATCTTTAAAAGTTAATTTTTGGTCAAGTATTAATCCAAGATATTTCACTTGGTTTGACCAGGAAATTGGAACTCCGTTCATATTGACTATGTGACTACTACTAGGTTTCAAAAACGAAGCTCTAGGCTTATGTGGAAATATTATAAGTTGAGTTTTGGAAGCGTTGGGAGAAATCTTCCATTTTTGTAAATAAGAAGAGAAAATATCTAAACTTTTCTGCAGTCTGCTGCAAATAACACGAAGACTTCTTCCTTTAGCGGAAATGCCTGTGTCATCAGCGAACAAAGATTTGTGGCAACCCTGAGGCAAATCAGGGAGGTCCGAAGTGAAAATGTTATACAATATAGGCCCAAGAATGCTACCCTGAGGAACTCCTGCCCTAACAGGTAGTCGATTAGATTTGGAATTTTGATAATTTACTTGAAGAGTTCTGTCAGTTAAATAATTTTGAACTAATTTCATAATATAAAGTGGAAAATTAAACTTTTTCAATTTAGCAATCAAACCTTCATGCCAAACACTGTCGAATGCTTTTTCTATGTCTAGAAGAGCAACTCCAGTTGAGTGGCCTTCAGATTTGTTTGAACGAATTAAATTGTTAACTCTTAAGAGTTGATGAGTAGTTGAATGCCCATGGCGAAATCCAAACTGCTCATCTGCAAAAATTGATTTCGTATTGATGTGAAGCATCATTCTATTCAAAATTATCTTTTCAAAAAGTTTACTTATTGAAGAAAGCAAACTTATTGGACGGTAGCTAGAAGCTTCAGCTGGATTTTTATCCGGCTTCAAAATTGGAACAACTTTTGCATTTTTCCATTTATCAGGAAAGTATGCCAAATGGAAACATCTGTTAAATAATTTTACCAAGAAAGACAAGGTACTCTCTGGGAGTTTTTTGATGAGGATATAGAAAATTCCATCATCACCTGGAGCTTTCATATTTTGAAATTTTTTAGTTATAGACCTTACTTCGTCCAAATCAGTCCCCCAGGAATCATCAAAAATATTTTCCCGAGAGAAAATATTCAGAAAATCCCGAGCAACCTGATTCTCAATAGGACTAGTAAGACCCAAACTGAAATTATGGGAACTCTCGAATTGCTTAGCAAGTTTCTGAGCTTTTTCCAAATTTGTGATCAAAATTTTACCACCTTCTTTAAGCGCTGGAATAGGCTTTTGAGGTTTTTTCAAAATTTTTGTGAGTTTCCAAAAGGGTTTGGAACTCGGTTCTAATTTAGAAATATTATTTTCAAAAGTTTTGTTCCTCAGGGCAGAGAATCGCTTTTTAATTTGTTTTTGCAAATCCCGCCAGATAACTTTCATGGCAGGATCGCGTGTTCTTTGATATTGTCTCCTACGGACATTTTTAAGACGGATCAAGAGCTGAAGATCATCGTCTATTATAATTGAATCGAATTTAACCTCGCATTTTGGTACTGAGGCAGCTCTTGCTTCAACTATAGAAGTAGTCAGAGATTCAAGAGCATAATTAATTTCATCTTTGGTTTGCAAAGGAATGTTTGGATCGAAGTTATATTCCATAAATGTTCGATACTGCTCCCAATCAGCTCTATGGTAATTGAAAGTAGAGCTGTTGGGATTACAAATTATTTCTTGGGATATTTCAAAAGTTACTGGAAGGTGATCAGAACCGAAGTCAGCATGGGTAACCAATTGGCTACAAAGTTGACATGAATCAGTTAAGACCAAATCAATAGTGGAGGGATTTCTTGCAGAAGAAAAGCATGTTGGGCTGTTTGGATATTGAATAGTGTAATAACCTGCAGAACAATCATCAAACAGAATATTACCATTGGAATTGCTTTGAGCATTATTCCATGAGCGGTGTTTTGCATTAAAATCACCAATAATGAAGAATTTAGACCTATGACGGGTAAGTTTCTGGAGGTCACCCTTGAGAAAATTCTTTTGCTGGCCTACGCATTGGAATGGCAAATAGGCAGCTATAAACGTAAGTTGTCCAAATTTTGTTTCAACAGAAACCCCCAAAGTTTCAAAAACTTTGGTTTCAAATGAAGAAAGAATTTTATGTTTGATTCGTCTATGAATAATGATGGCAACGCCACCACAGGGTCCATCAAGACGATCATTTCTATAAATCAAGTAATTTGCGTCCTTCTTAACCTTATGGGCAGGTTTAAGGAACGTTTCAGTTATAACGGCAATATGCACGTTATGAACTCTTAAAAAGTTAAATAGCTCGTCTTCATTATCTTTAAGAGATCGAGCATTCCAATTTACAATATTTAATGCTTTAAAATCCATTACTGAATTTTAAAGTCATGACAATATTATTTGCAAATTTTACTCCAGTTTGAATAGCATCAAACATGGAGTTAGATTTAAGCATATCAGAAATCATGTCAATTAATGAATTCTGTAAAAATTCCATTTTGGGGGCAGTAATGCTTCCTAAGTCAAAATTGTCAAAATTTCCATTAGAACGTTGGTTAGTATTTTGATTTCTACCCGCTGCAATAGCAGCATAGGTAGCTCCATTAACTCGCTGAACATTGTTAGCAGCGAGGGGAGTAGGTACAGATGAAACATTTGAAGCAGGGGTGATATTTGTACCTACGGGTACGAATGTAGAATTTGTTCCTCGCTGACCGTTGTTAACAGCAGAGGAATTTGTACCTGGTCGGAAACGTGGAGCGTTTCCTACCTGTCGGTTAGAACGAGATTGTAGGATCGCTTTGCGAGTCTTACATTCCCAAAAATTGGATTTGTGATTCTCACCACAATTTGAACATTTAAATTTCTTAGGATCTTCCTTCACAGGACAGTCGTCCTTTGCGTGAGAGGAATCACCACAATTCATGCATTTAGCTGGCATGTAGCAATTTTTAGTTCCGTGACCCCATCCCTGGCACTTACGGCACTGGGTGAGGTTTTGGAAATTTCCTCCAGTTTTCCTGAAGTGTTCCCACTTCACTCGGACATGGAGCATAAGGCTAGCTTTTTCTAAGGCCTTAAGGTTGTTTAGTTCACTAGACTTGAAGTGAACTAAATAAAAATCATTAGAAATCCCGTTGCGCGAATCGCCAGGACGGGATTTCATTTTCATTTTGATTACTTGGAGTGGCACAACTCCAAGTAATTTTGCCAGTTCATCTTTGATCTGATCCAGGGATTCACCACTGGGCAGTCCTTTCATGACAACCTTGAACACACGTTCAGTTTTGGTGTCGTAAGTAAAAAATTTGTGCTTCTTCTCAGTAAGATACTTGAGAAGACATTTAAATCCGTCCAAGGTTTCAGCCAATACACGGCATTCACCCCGACGTCCAATTTGTAGTGAAAACTTAACTTTCACGAAATTCAAAAGTTCCATGCGAAGAGCATGGAAATCGGTAGTGGTTATCACAATAGGGGGAATCTTTTCCTTCTTGGCATTAAGCCGGGAAAGTTTACTAGAATTTTTCTTGGATGATGGATCATTCTCATCATCCGTGAGCAAATCAAATTGATTACTCAAATTAATTTCTTCAGAAGGGGGGTCAAGAGTTTGCCCCTTTCTTTTGCGTTTAGGCGCCATTGCGGCAGTAAATGTTTTATCCAAATCGACTTCCAAGCAGATTACTATAAGAATCTGAAGGATCGAAGAGGAATTTTCCAAATCGATATCCAAGAAGGATTACCTCGGGTAGGGTCCAAACAAGGATCGAAAAGGAATAAGAGGAGTTGAACAAGGTAGAAAATTTTTACAGGTTGAGCACTGAAAAGTGCTGTTTAAATTTGTTGTAGCTTTAGGTAGTAGTAACACTTCCTTAAGCAAAAAGCAAATAGATCCGCACGGCAAGAGAGCACGATGCGGACTAAATGAATGTAAATGATTTTCCATGCCTGTGCACCACCAATGTTAACGTTTTTTTTCCCAATTGCAGAACAACTACGGCCGCTCGGACGAAGCAATCGCCGCCGAAACGCTGGCCAACCACATCCGCTGCAACAACTCGTTCGTGCAGGCCGTCTTTCAGGCCCAGTTCCGCTCCTCGCTGACGTGTCCCCGGTGCCATAAGCAGAGCAATACCTTCGATCCGTTCCACTGCATCTCGGTTCAGCTGCCGCAGTTGACGCTGCTGCCGGTGTTTGTGCGAGTGATTTACGCCTCGCAGCAACCGAAACAGGTTCAGCTGGGTCTGGGCGTTCCGCACGGGTCACCGGTGATGGTGCTGAGGGAGCAGCTGCACGCGGACACCGGTATTGCCGTCGACCGGATGATACTGGCCGAGGTGTCCGAGGGGGGCTTCAATAGGGTGTACTGTGATTCGCATTTGGTGTCGTCGATCGGAGACGACGGGTCGGTGTACTGCATCGAAAGCCCTCCGGTGGCGGAAGGAATGACTCAAATAGTGCTGTGTATTAGTAATGCCCGGAGGGACGTCGGGAGCGGAGAGGTTCGCCGGTTTGGGACACCGTTCTGTATAGTGGTCAATAGGGATATTTCGTATGTGGAGATGCAGAAGTTGCTGTTGAAAGAGATGGCGAGTATTTTAAAATCGGAAGTATTTGCGTTTAGTACGCCGTTGCAGGAGATGTTCAAGATGCGGTTGCAGGATCCCTCGTGCGATGCAGATGCCTATTTGGAGTCCAACGTCGAACATCCGCTGTTTACGGAGATGATTGATTTGGCTCTATCGGTTCTACCAACGGATGCTGGTCCGGCACACGTGAAGCTGCTGATTGAGTGGACTAATCCGGAACGGTTCTTTAGCGATATGACAGATCCTTTTGTAGAGCACGAAAGTGTTGGCCAGATGAAGGAGAAAATCCCGGCCAGTTCGGCATTAACTTTGGAGCAGTGCCTGGAGCATTACACCAAAGCGGAAACGCTGAGTGCGGAGGACGCTTGGCGGTGTCCCCACTGTCAGAAGTACCTTCCGGTGGTGAAAACATTGGGACTATGGTCGCTTCCGGACATTATGGTGATCCATTTCAAACGGTTCCGACAGCAGCAATTGCGTGGACCTCAGGCGGCCAAATTGACCACATTGGTCAAGTTTCCTCTGAATGGTTTCGATATGTCACCCCACTTAGCAAGGGATCCCAGTGCGGAAGCCTCCTCCACCACCGGAACCGATGACAATTGGAGTCCCTGGCGGAGAACCACCAATCGATATACGAAACATTCCTCAAACCATTACAATCAACATCACTTGCAGATGGATAATCGGTACGATTTGTACGCAGTTTGCTACCACCAGGGGGACACTCTGGAAACTGGACACTACACAGCTGCCTGTAAGAATCCTTACGATCACCAGTGGTACAAGTTTGATGACCAACGTGTGGCACAGGTTCCGAGTGATCGCATCCAAGAGGAGATCGTCAACAATGAGGCTTACATACTATTCTACCAAAGACGCAAAATCGATGGATCGGAATGTTCCGGAACGAGTTCTAGCTCCGGTAATGATCACTGGGTGTCTAGGATAGCAGCGGCCCCGTTGGGAGTGACCCATGAATCCAAGCCAAAAGTAAATCCGCCGAAATCAGCTCCTCCTGCTGGCGTTGCCGCCACTACTAATACTATTACTACAAAGTCTATTACCGCTATAGCGGACGTTCCGGTTGTCCCGAAAAAGGCCGAAATCGAGGAAACCACCACCATACATTCCGAGAGTGAAAGTGAAGCGAGCGAAATCAAGGTCCCGAAAGAGCCGAACATTGACTCTGATGAGACGGTACAAACAACTGTCGTTCAAGCAGAAGTGGAAACGCAGAATATCAACGAAGAATCTATCGAGACACCACCGGAAAAGTCTCCCTCTATCACCGAAGAAATTGCCAAACCACTTCCCGAAGTGGAGACCCCTGACGAAGATTCTTCGAAAGAGGGTTCCATCAAAACCCTAACCGATGAGCCTTCGTCGCCGGAACTGCGAAAATCCACAGATCCAACGACCTCGGACCAATCGGACGACACGAGCGATACCAAGTCGCCCGATTCGAGCAGTCGATTCTCGTTGCCAACAGCGCACTCGCATTTCCCGGAGATCCTCTGGAGCCACCACCATCGACCGTCGTCGTTTACGGCCTACAAGTCCGGCTACGATCCGGACGCGGTGTCGATGATTCGGGGGGCAAACACGTGCAGCAAGGACACCTTGTTGTTCATCGACCAGCAGTCGCACGCGGCCGGATTGGATCGGGTAATGATGAACGACGAGGACGATTCGGACGATATGCTGAGCAACAGTCGGGCGCTGTGGGTAAGTTTGTGGTAGCTTAGATTGCTTATCACTACTGTTCGTTGCGAGACAAAAGTCAATCGGGTCACAAGTGATTGTGTGTGATTACATTCTTTCCCATTACAGATATCGCCCGTCACGCCGCATAAGCTGATAACGGTCTCACCGAAGAACTAACGAAGTTTGAAGCAGACATTCTCACACATACATACCTACAACATTAAGCAGCGAGTCGAATGAGATTTCAAAAATCTACCACCAACCTCCCATCCACCAAAAAATTAAAACGTCAAAGTCCTAGCAGAGAAACCGTACACGAGAAAGAGCAGCAACCGGAAGGGCTCTATTTATATGAACATGTTGAAAGTTTTAAATCGTTTTTATGTTATTATTTTGTTTGCCTGTGAGCCTAGTAGTAGGGAAAAGTCATTCATTTATTATTTATTGAAGCAGGAGAAACGAAAGGGGCGTCGCAATGTGACCGTAACCCGTTTATTGTATAGGTGCGCGCACGCGTCCAGGTGAGTATTTATTTGAGCTAGAGTACATTCTTACATGGCAAAGATGCAAAAAAAACGAAAAACTTTACTGTATAGCGTCCCATTCCTCTTTAACCAGCTGAAAAAAAATTTACTATACATATACAATCCTATTTCGCGTTAGTAACATTCTTCAAGACTTTCCAAATTAAGATGAAACAGAAACTTTAGACTAAATCAAACATTCGGTACCCACATTTCGGATGAGATACAGATAGAGAGCAATTATCTAGAAAAAAATATGGAACAAGTGTTTATGTAAATTTACTACGAGTATATAACTTTTTTTTTCTCGAAATTTTTTTCACACCGATTACCTTGGTCCTAGAAGTTAGGCGGAAAGTGTCAGCAAAGCGGGGAGAGAGGGGTTCCCTAATCTCCTCGGGGGGATGGTAGCAAAGCCAGCCCGGCCCTAGTCTAGGCTGTATGGAAAAGGGACAGAATTAGATTTTAGTGAGTGATAAAACAAACAAAAACCATCAGAATTACGAGATTTATGCGTAGATATTCGGGGCAGAAGCGGGAAATGGATATAGTGTGTTGCAGATAGCAGAAACCGGAAGAAAAAAAAACATTAAGCATACAGAAACAAGTACAATTTAATGTTAGTTATTTGATTGTAAAAAGAGGAGTAAAATTATAAATTATTAGAGTAGATGGTTGGTTGTGGTGGTACTTTCTTCGAAATGTCCGGGATGTTCGGTCTGAGTGAACACACCGAATGTCAGAAAACATGGCTCTAGTATTCTAATTGGAGGTTAAATCTTTCCTGAAATCACAAAGCAGAATGATATGGCGAAGATTTGTAAAATCGCATTTTCGACTCAACGTGATACCAGCGTAAAGGTTGAGGAATGAGAATGGTAGTCAGTACTCCTGCCTCTAGCGCTCCTTATCTCGCCTGATCCGTAAACCGCAAAAAAGATGATTCGTTTTCGCTTGCTTCTATCACTTCCACGTCCTGCTATCCGAGCTGCCATTATTGCTCTTTTTCCTAGCCTTTGTTTTTCGACAGATTGCTTTTCAAGCTTAACCAGGTCTTGCGCTTGGGACAGGAATTCTGCCGGTGCACCTCCGTCTTGCATAAGAAGCATTTATGTTTATTCCCGTCATAACATATATTCCCCTTCCGATTGAGGAATTTAAGCGAGAAGGGATCATACATTCGCACATTTTGAACGTAATCCCCCGTATGTAACATACGTACCTCCATTGCTTTTCCATTCACATGATGGAAAATTAAATCTTCCAAGTTAAACGTCAATGCACACAGCATCGATTCTTCTGACTTGAACTTGACCTTTATGTACATATTTTGATTGAATTATGTTAGAATATTCTAAATCCGATATCTCGAATATTTCACTTAGGGGCTTATTACGGATGTCACTTCACGGTGAAAACTTGTCACTTGTCGTCACGTTGATTTGATTCCCATTTGATTTGTACAGTAATCACGGCTCTTATTATGAGTATCACTTGCTTATCACCGTGTAGTGACACCCGTAATAAGGCCCTTAGAGTAGTGAACATTTGTTCAAGCTCGTAATTCTTAAGTTTTCCTTTGTACGGGACACCAAAAATTAAGTCTGAAATCTAAAATAATGGCAATGTCCCAGAGTTTTGAAAATTTGTCAAGTCCAAGCTGGTGATAATATTCTTAAGCCTTGGTCACGTGACTATTTGTCAACTTTTACTATCTCCAAATGTTGTTTGATGGCAGAATCTCCTGGAACACCACCAGATTTTTTTTTTTTTTTTTTTTTGAAATAATGTAATGTTTAAAGTTCTTGGGGGAGGTTGTTCATTGAAACTTCCGGTCCGCTTCGTAGCATAGTGCTTGCTAAGAGGTGCCAGGTGGTAACCCACTGATTACCTGACGATCGGCCAAATTTGGAAGACGTCTGCATTGAATTGCCTCACATTGTAATATTCCGCCCACTATATCACAATCAATTGCGAGTAGCTGAGCGGAATGGAGACAAGGAAAGCATTTGGTACAGGACCAAGTCTCTCCCGGCTGGCGCCAAAACAATGAACCTGGAAGCAACTGGATCAAGTTTTCATGGGGCACGAAATGATCCTGTTGCATGGCTTGGAGCTTGGGGGGGGGGGGGGGGTTTGGTGCTAATGTTTAATTTGTTTTTTTTTATAATTTCAGGTGTTAAGGTGGTTCGCTGCCTCTGGATAGTGGGCTTGACGGTGGTTCAGCAAGAATAATATTGAGACATACGGAAATGCAACAAACGTGTCAAATTAACTGCATTGGTAACGAAAACACAGAAGAGCGTACACTGCCCATAATCGCATATCAATCCCATATGGATAGGAAATCAAGCAAAGATGGGACTGATATGCGATTATGGGTAGTACACCTGATGTCACACACTAAGGTGATGGTAATAAGGTCGGTGATAATATGACATTTACACAAAAGCGGAGATCAAATCAGATTGGTCAACGTATCAAAATTCGAAACTTCGATTAAAACGTGGAATCTGTGCAGCACCAGTGGAGAACACTCAAAAGCTGCAGGTCTCATCAACCGCTGCCTGCGGTATATAACTTATGGCTGGAGGCCTCACAAATGGATCTCAGATGTAAATGTCATCAGAAGCCGATAGCAATAGAAACGAAGTCTGCAGGCAAGCGTTTGATTATGAATTAAATCCGCCAGAACATCGCAGCAAAGGCAAATACTAAGGCGGCGGAGCGTCAACAAGGAAATTAAGCAAGCCGATAGGAATTTGACCTGGGCCCAGGTCAAGCAGCTGCCCAGAATGGAAGTCATTCACTTTGGCCCTGTGCACCTCTGGAGGTTCCCAGGTATTTGAGTACGACGACGATGCACGTTGCCCCTTAGAACGGAATGAAAGCGAACAAACCTGATGTTGCACAACAAGCCGGCGTTTTTTTTTTTTTTTTTTTTCAGCAAAACAACAAAATCCTCTATCGTTCTTTTTTATTCTTTTAATCTCTTACTATCCCCTAATCGGACGCTAGTGGGACCAAAAAGCCTGCTAGTGAAAGGAAAGTCGTTATGCTATACGGTCTAGCATAGGCCACGACCAGCCAGCCAGGGTGTGAACTGAGCAATAACAATAACAATAATGTAATGTTCAAAGTTCTTTGATGGTGGGCGTTGGCCAGATTTGGATTTTTCAGACATAATCCTAAATAGGACCTAGATTATTTAAAACTCTAGTAACCTCAAGTCCGTGCTCTATCACAATGTTTCATTGTGATTAATCAACACTCAATGGGTAAAATATCAAAGTTGGGGTGATTTTGAAAGAAAGAGAACTTGGAGTGTATAGCGCACTGCCCATTGGACAATTCTGAAGCCTGGCCAATTGAGTGGGTTATGGGTTTATTTGATTGAACGTCATTTCCAATTTATATATTGATACATTCAAACCATTGGCATTTGGTCATTGAGGCGAGGGGGGCGACACATCTAAATCTCAATTTTAGATGCTCAATAAAGCGAATAAATCTTCGAAAAATCTTCTTTCATTTCTGGCATCTACTTGCATCGCGCATCATCTTTTTGCAGGAAATCTTTAAAATCGTGATAAATCTTCTTTCTATCTACTCAGCGTACGCGCAGCTAGCCACAGCAAAACACAATATTTCCTGCATCGTAGATAGAGTCGTCCCCCTCGCATTGAGGTAAGACAGAGATAGGATGCGGAGGGCCCGCTTAGGATGAGCGTAACCTAAGATTTGGTTTCGATTTATGAAATGGTTCAGATAGGCTAGAAATGACAGGTTCATAGTGAGATAATGTACCACATGTTGCCCGTTCACTGATCAAAATCAGATTCACATCGTCAGGCCCTGCCCAAGAATAAGGGGATTGACGATGTTTTGCCAAGTTTTACTTTGCATTTGCATATAATCGAAGACTACAAATCAAGAAGGCTGGCAACTCTGCTAAAAATCAGAAGACAGTAAAGGGAACGCCTTTTCTGAGCAAAAGTGAAACCTGTATGTGTTAGTGAGATGAAATTTTTTGTTCGCTGTGAGAAATTTTTTGTTTGCTGTAAGAATTGTCATTCTAAAGTAAAAATAAACAACAAAACTAAAACAAATCCTACGCTGCACGGTAACAGTCAAATACCCTTTTATGAGTAAAAGTTAACCCATTTTTAATAAAAGTGGCTTTACTCATTAATGAGCAAATTATTTTAACAAAAACGAGTTTCTGCTTACAGTAGCTACAGTTACTACTTAATTGGCATACTAAATTACGCATTAATTAGTAGTGCCACTTTTATTGACAATGGGTTCACTTTTACTCATAAATGGATGTTAGGTTCTTACCGAGGGGGACGACTCTATCTACGATGCAGGAAATATTGTGTTTTTTTTTTAAGTAGATAGAAAAAAGATTTATCACGATTTTGAAGATTTCCTGCAAAAAGATGATGCACGATGCAAGTAGATGTGAGAAATGAAAAAAGATTTTTCGAAGATTTATTAGCTAGTGTGAGATTTTTTGAGCATCTAGAATTGAGATTTAGATGTGTCGCCCCCCTCGGTTCTTACAATGCACATGACAGTATTCGCTAGTGTGTGTAAAATTATATTATTAGTGTAGTGTTCGTGAGATCCTGCTTGGAGAACTCAATTGACGAGTGCACGGATGGATTTGAGTTCACTCACTCGACAAAAAGTGACACAACAGCGGGGCCCTGTTTACTAAAAATGAACATATATGTGTTCATTTTTAGTAAACAGGGCCCCGCTGTTGTGTCACTTTTTGTCGAGTGAGTGAACTCAAATCCATCCGTGCACTCGTCAATGATGTTGTGTGTTAATTCACGAGTGCATTCATCAGTTCATTTTGTTCAGCAAAAGGCTCTCCTACACGGTAAGAAAAAAGTACCCAACGACCAGTTCACTTTTACCTACTTTTGACTAGTTTGTCTCCTTTTTTACTTCTAATGTTGTCAACAACGGAGGAGCAAAACCACCCAACGTAGTAAAGTGTGGGAGCCCAACGTTGAGTATAATCATATTTACCTACTGTTGGATACAACTAACTTACTTTTGGTTAAAAGGCTATTGGAAAATTCCATACGATCTACACACAAGTAAATGAAAATTACTTTAACCCGCTTTACCTACTTTTGGGTTCCTGCACTATAGCAAAGATGAATACTAAGATGAAACGGTCGGAAGAAAAACTTTCTATTTTAGTGTCTTCTTTCACGGTCCCTTTCATCCAATGAGAACCCCCCGTATTCAAGGTAATTTTGTGGTTTTGCTGCCCCCTCGGAATAGATGAAATTTTGCGCTCATTTTTATCAAAACAATCACACCAAAATCAGAGATGTCCCATTTTTTAATTACTCGATTAACAACTAATCGATTATTTTTTGTTCGCTGTGCTGCCATTTTTCCCCGAATGAGAGTGCAGCACATGTTTGAAACGATCGGTGATGATCCTATGGAGATGTTAATGCTTATATCGGCATGATCTAACCGATTATAAATAGTTTACTTTTCGGTTCGTTAATCGATTAAACGATTATTCGAATGAAAATCGGACATCACTAGATGAATGTGAAACGTCATTTCAAATATAAGGCCGTTCATGAATAATGATACAATTTGAAAGGGACCGGGGCTAACCACAAATTACGTCTCCA